TCCCAGGCAGCATTGGCCAATGACGACTTCAGGGCTGATGTTGAATGCATCTAGTTGTGCCTGAGAGTGTGACTATCTGTGTGAGAGATGTGATGATGACGGCTGCTGTCTGATGACTGTGGAGCAAGTTCAAGTGGTTTATGATAAGCATGGTGCTCGACGGGCATATCGAGTATTGAGGTCCGTGCAGCGTCGGTTGGAGGGTGGTGTGTTCAAGTAGCCCCTGGATGTGTGTACACACGCGAAAACGAGTTAAGAGTCTTCAGGTCAGCGAGTCGCGAACAGCTACCTGCGAAGACGGATGACTTTGGGGCAGTTTGCATTGGAAAAGAAGGGTGACAGCATTGTTATCTGTCCTCCAAACCCTCACGATAGTGCGCCACATCATCAGGTAAGAAGAGGTCAGTGCAATAATTGTTTTCTTGACGAACTGCAGTACATTTTTTTCTTTACCACAGTCGCTGCGAGTAATTCAGAGAATTGAGCGCAGGCGCACAATTGCGGCCTTGCCGAACCGTCCCTTCCAACTCCTTTTCCGTGTCATTTTCACTCTTCTCGACAAACCTTTCCCCAGGACATACCTGTTTCTATTTGGAACTGAGGTCGCCCATCTCTGGCATTATTACCAATGGAATTACGCGCAATTAACTGCGAGGGGCATATTTTCAAGAAGAGCAGATCAAATAGACCGACTTAACGCGTTGATAAATCAGCTGCTTTTGTGCTCTCCCTTATCGAGAAGAGACAGCAATTAATTGCCTAGCAACACCGGGCAGATATTCCCCATAAACCGAATAGGATGCAGCAACGAGATCAAGAGAACAGTGCGGTTTTCTGGTAGTATGGTTCAACGAGACAATCTAAAGCATTGCTTTGGTTAGCGCATGCTTGCCCAACGGGGAAACCAGTTTCGTCGAATCTCATTCTTTCCAAATATTGCGGAATTCTGTAAAATGCAAGCTAATATCGTCGATAGAAAGTAGTTTGCGTCTGGTCTTGTCGAAGGAGCCTCAAGTACGAAGTACTATTTAATTCCGTCTTTGTTCCGCTAGGTCGTAGAACCTGGGTGTCTGACGCTGGTATGTTTGGATATGGTCCCACATCAACCGATTTACAGTCAAGTAGCTTGGGTAATGACAGAATAACAGTGCTTGTGCTTTTTCGTGGTAAATTAAAAAAAATTCACTTTCTTCGAAATGTGGACTAAGTCCTGAAATGGGTCTGAGTTTCTTGAAAAGAATTTCTAGATACTTAAGATTAACAAGGTCTGGCATGCGGAATGACATCCTACAGTACTAACGGTTAAAAGTATGCTTATGCCCTACTATCCAGTATACCCATATCAACTAGGGTTTAATAAAAACAGCACTTTCGAAGAAGCGATCTCCCGTTAACGATTTCTGCCGTGCTTCCCTGACGGTTTACGTCTAAGGCGACAGCTTAAACTACCTTCAGTTTTCAGAACGTTTGATTCTGACAAATAATGAATCCGTCGGAAATGGCCACCCAAATGGGTACCTAGGAATGACAGCAACCAGTTAAAATGTTAACTTAGCGTCATGTGTACAGTCGCGTGTCGGGACGTTACTTGCGGTGGCTGGTTTCCTACAGATCTGAAATGGCACGCGCTATCTGTGTACAGTTGACTAGGCGTCCCAGTGTTTCTTGGTTAATGTTACTTGTCTGGTATCACTTCCTTTTGTTCTGTCTTTCAGAATTTCTAGTGTGAATGCACGGATCAATACTCAAGAGGCCGTTTAATGTGCGCATTGCCAGCTGACTGACCAATAAGTCCGACAGTTGGAGCCGGCAACTTCCGTCAGATTTAAGTGTAGAATAGTTCGCTTGATTACAACGAAAACATAGCTGGGTTTGCTGCATTCTAAACTCTTGCAGGTGAACGGTTTTACTCATCCTTGGCAAGAGAACTCATAATCAACAACGTTGGGATAGACGTACGTCTTGAATTTATTGATGGGTCGATCCATAGTGATAATCAGTGGAACTATTGGGGACTGCGGGCGAATCTTGTTTGGACTTCCTTAACAAAAGTCATTTTAGCTAGGCGGAACTGCAAATAGAGTTTTTATAATCGCATCAAGTTATTTTCCTCGAAGGAACATTTAGTTTTGCTTCATAACTGCGGTTGCTGAAATGTATCCCATTTGAAAATAGTTAAACAACCGCATACGACCTATTAACCACACCCGTTCATTAAAAGACGAAGAACTTGACAGCAATAGTGGCCGATTAGTTTACTTAACGAATTCTTTTTGTACTTTTTCAGTCAGCCTTAAGACAAATCTAACTCTGTCAAAAGAACAGTGGTAGTTCAAGGTCGCGATAATAGGTCAAAGTTGCTTTTGAAGAGAGCGAGGCCAGTCTGATGCTGGTCCAGTGTATACCGCAGTAGTATCAAACGGCCAGCTGTCATGGCTTGAAACACTCGAGTTAAAGGGTAACCGTATTATGCTACCGAATTTCAGGCTGCAATAGAATGTAGTTAGACCGATTCGCCTACGTAGAGTTCGGAAGTAAAGTCTGTGCGGTATGCACAATTGATTTAACTTCAAATTCCCCTGCTTCATCTTGTTGTTTGAGTGTCATTGGTGAGTAAGTGGAATGAGGTAGACATTGTGCCGGTCGATTCACATACCGGTTACCTCTGCGCCCCAAACAGGGTGGCCCCTTTTGACGATGGAGAAATCGCCTTTATCTCTCCTTCAAGTTCAACCTGGATGCCCATCTGCTAAGAAACTACATCACCTCTAAGACGACCGTGTCTGCCTCGGCAGCTTCAGTCTGACCGTTTTACGGCGATGACGTTATGTTTTCCACATTAAGCTGTGTCGAAGTTTGCATTTTTACTTTTTTGGGTGTGAGCGGGAAACTCGCCGTCGGAGGTTTTATTTGATAAGATGTGAGTCATGCCAACCACATGAATTCCTGAGTCTTTGGCTCCGATCTCTGCTAGATCGAGTGACGCCGTACCCCCGATTTTATTAGATTTTTTCCAAAACTAGTTTTATTTTCCCCATATCCCTTTAACTGGCACTACAGTTGCCTCATCTTAAGCCAGGATCTCGAGTATTTGGTGCGGCATTGCTTATTCTTACTTTGATCCCTATGGTTACTTTTGGCACAGGTACCCGTTGATAGTCTGGATAACTGAATACGCAAAAAGGGGTTCTTCAGTTAATACAGTATTATAATCTTGATTTGCCTACCCCAAATTAGGAACTTTGTTTACTAGCATTTATTCCAACCAAGCACGTGGGTAAATCATTTTTTTGCATGCAGATATGGATGCGGTTTGTTCTTCGACATACTCCTTAGTTATCTGTTTTTTGCCGTTACCATGGCATAGAGATCTTGATCGATAATGAGTCTACAGGCAGCGTATTTGGTAGTATGCTTTACTCCATAATAAATCTGAGTTGTTAGATGTCTGGCATCTTTTCATTTTTATGTGATTTACGGCAGTTTTTATCAGAGTGCTCAAATTTTCACACTTTTTGATGTTGATTTGAACGTCTACTTGGATTATCCACTTCTGCTACATTAGCCGAATATGAATAATAAAACAGGCTGCCGCCCTGTAGTAAATTATTTTGTCGATATTTTTTTCATTTTTTGTTGTACAAGTTTTTAATCAGCTCATTTGAAATGAGCCTCCGAACACGTTGAAATCTTAATTACATTAAAGGCCAGTAATAGGGAGGTTCTCGCAATAAATTCAAGTTTGAATTTCATGTTTTATTAACTTAGAAAGACTGCTCAATACAAAGCGATGGTGTGTAATTGAATTGCATTGTGTTGGCGCTCACTAAAAGTGTGACGTTGGTTGCCAACGCATTAATTTTAAGTTCAAACTCTTTGGGGCACTTCATAGCTTGCACATGTCAGTCTATAGAGGTATTTGGAGCGATCCTTGGCGTTTATCCCAGTTAGTGTCTGGAGACGTTAAAGAGTAAGGGCAACTGCTTGGCCTAGTCAATATTCCTTTTTATTGGTATTTTAACCACTGGTAGGTCCTGGTCACGCCCTTGCTTCCTTCATTTGTTGGTATCTGAGTAAACTCCCAGTTCATACGCTTATTGTAAATCCATTCACCCCAGACCCCTTAAACACGCCATCGTTCATAGCTTTGACCCCTTCATCGAAGGGTGCTCTATCTTGCATGCATCAAATCGCAGAGTTTCATGAATCTGTTCATCTGGGACTGAAGCCCCATTCCAAAAACCCTGATAACCAGTCAGACTTGTCTCCTTGGGTACCCGGGATTGCCGACTGCCACGGAATATCCACACCCCGCCCCTTGGTTACCTCTCGGCGATGTCCGTTTTATTTATGCGCTGAAGTGTAAAAACTTTTGGGTTGTCCGCCCCTCGACCTCTTTTTCAATTCGCTCGGTTTCCCGATACCTGGATGGCGCTGCTGTCATGGCGTTGAACTTGCAAACTTGCTCATCTTCATCGTCTTGTCTCCTCTAGCCTCCGAAGCTAACGAGCTATCCGCAGACACTGACACAATCAAAGAGAACAATGGGTAAGAATCCACCCGCTGGTGTCATCTTCAGTATTTTTCCATTCTGGTTTGGCCTTTGTTATGCCGCTGGCCTTTATTTTTCCCCAAGACACTAGGTTGACTTGCAGTGACTGTTTTACAGCATACGTCCCTTCATTTATGGGCATTAAATCGTAGGAGTATTTTTTACAGATGATAGATACCAGTCTCAGTCAGCTGCGTGACCTGTATTGGTCTTAATTGTTTGGCACATAGACGACCATATTTTATGCTTAGGTGGCAGTCAACGAAATAATCCACCCAAAACGAGAAATAGGACAGTGCTCAAGTGCATACTTTAGTTGTTAATTGCTCAATAACTTTAATTCGGTCCTGTTGCTGGCAAATGCTTTTTCCCCCTTCAAAGTACCTGCAAGCTTCATCCGTTTTTCTGTAATTAGCGCGCAGTATTCCCTCTAACTGGGACGCACTAGCGTCTTTTGTGAGATTTGTCCGTATTTGCTGATGTTGAGCTTTTTATGTCAAGTATCGCCTAGCGCTATCTGATGATAGCCGTCGAGGTTTTGTTGCCGGATGGCAGCTTTTTACGTCGTTTGGCTGCTTATATTGGCTTCACGTGTAGAATGTCCCCTGTTGGTAGTCTTCACACTCACTAGGCATCTTATGCCCAACTACCAAGTAAACTGTGTGTCAGAGGCATCCCGCCAACAGTCCATAGTTAACCCGAACGGTTTTGTTTGTATAATTAATTCTAAAATAAATAAAGTGAATGAGCAGGGTCACTGTTCAAAATCTGTTCCCTCTCAATCTCCCTGTTTTAAGACGCCACTCTGTAAGAAGAAGTTGATGTGATCGCTCACTAGTCTGTGTTGCAATTTCCCATATAGTCACCTTTTTGGGAACAATTATAATGAAAGCTGCTGTTCTACCAAATAAGACTCGTTCACCCTTGCAGACATTCCCATTTGAAGTCTTTCTTTCTTCGCTTTTTCGTGCTTCACGGAAAGGGGTCCTATTTTGTAGTTTCAGATACCTAGTCACATTTTCTCTACCGATTAGTTTTTACGAGAATGATTAATTATCATGAATTTTTATCTGTTGAATTCACCTTGTATCCGCTTGCGGAAATTCTCACAGAATAGAAGTCTTAACTCATAGTTCGATAACGTTTGCTGGAGGGGTTCATCATAATCCGGTTTCTTCTGCGATTCCTACTGCGTTACCTTTATGGCTTAGATGATGACTATTACCATGGTTACCTTGCCTATTTCCGAAGTCAGTGCTAAGGGTGCAGGAACTTTACCCACTGTTGATAAGGCGTTCCTAATTTAGCAAAGTGCCTTCTGTGATTGGCATGGTTAGTTAGAACTGACTTTTGTTTCGTTGACCTTCCACTATAAGGTTCCCGTCTATAGTGATCTACTCTGTTCTAGAACGCGGCGGTTTAAGCAAGCCATTTTGCGCTGTGTCCCCTTCTAGGATTCCCAGCTATAGTCCCCAATCTATGTTCATGTCTCACCTCTCTCCCATCCCCTTGAAAAAACCAATAGACATGATGTGGAGGCGGCAAAGCGAGCACGAAATCAGGAGAACACCAACGATACCTCTGTTAAGGTTAATGACGAGACAAAAGTAGGCACGATCGCCGCCTCGCCAACAGCGACCCCTGAATCGGCAAACAAACAGAAAGCGGAGACAGGCGTTAAACTCACTACACCGTCGCCAACTACAAACCGGGTCGATAATACAGGCAGCTCTGGAAAGAGCGGACAAGCCAGTGGGAATCGCTACAATCCCAGGAATCGAGGATACAGAAGCCAACAACAGCAACACAATCGAAACCAACCGATGCAAGTAAGTAGACGAGACAGCCCCGGCGCTCCCGACTCCAGGCTTGAGGAAAGGGGGTCATCTATTGATAATTTG